TCAAACTCCCAACCTCGGGTGATCTACCACCTCAACCTCCCAAAGTGCTGGGATTTAGAGGCATGAGCTACCATTCCTGGCCTAAAGGACACTTTTGACACTGTGGTATGCTCAGGTCTGCAAAATGCTGTAGAGTGAATTAGCCCATAGGTTGTCCAGTTCTTCATGGGAAGTTGACCTTGATGTTAAGCAATACATACACACAATATAAATGTATTTACTTATATAGTTTGTGTAATTATATTAACATGCAAGTTTATATAATTTATATAACTTGAATTTATTTTCTCATTCTGAATTAGTTTACTGTGTACCAACTTTTTTTTGAGTACCTACTGTGTGCCAGGTATTATGCCAGGCACAGGGATATTAGTGGTGAACAAGATAGCAAAATTTGCTGTAATTTAATAATAGAGACATGGCATATTTATGGTATATTGTTGGAGAAACAGCACTCTTTGGTTTTCACAGATTAATCATGTATTATCTTCTTGAAAACCCAGTTATTGATAAATTTGTTTTACATCCCATTCATTTTCATATTTGTCTGAGAACCTTTTCCTTAATCTCTCATAGAATACAGTGTACACATAATTTCAGTTGTACGTATGACCCTAATTATCTGGGGTTTGGGATTTCTTAAAGATATGAATAAGTTACCCAAAGACAGATAGTAATTTGTGAATTAAATTTTCTGATTTGCTAGACCTTACTGATGTCTTAGTTTATGTTATTTGTGGTTTTGTGCTAAATATTTGACTTTGGGGTGACAGGAAATAAATGAGGATTGTTTTTAATAAGCCTATAAGAGCTTAAGCAGTTGATTTCAAATTACACCCTCTCCTCTTTTTTTTTTTTTTTTTTTTGAATGAGTTCTATATAACTGAACTCTGCCTAAACTAGAGAAATAAAGTTAGGGAAATAATAGTTGGCTATAATTTGACTTCATTTATGTCAAGGGGGATGTTGGGGCAAAGGATATTAGAGTGGTATTATGTTAGAGGTGTTTCTGGGAAGGTATTTAATATCTGTTAGGTGTAAATTGTTATTTATACTTGGTTAGGGTTATTGTGTGGGGGCATGCTGTGAAGAGCCTTTATACCAACAAGTTTTTATTACTGCAGGAAATGCTCTCCCTTTAATGTGCCTTTCACTTGGGTGTCAGAGGAAGCCTGGGAAAGTTGGAGCAAGCCCTGCCTTCTAGACAGGGACTCTTGGATCTGTTTTTATAGCAGTGCTGGTATGTGGGTGGACGGTAGGGAAGTCGAGTCACTTCTATATAAAATTGTGAAGAGCAAGAAAACCTAAAGTTTTTTTTGTTTTTTTTTTTTTTAATGAGTGGGTATTACTTTGTCTAGAATCTGAACTATTAAAATTGAAAATGAAGGCTTTCTCCCACTCTTTTTATACATCTTCCTTTCAGCTTCAGATTTCTGAAAGATACTGAAGATAAAACTGAAGTAAGGCCAGGCGTGGTGGCTTACACCTGTACTCCCAGCACTTTGGGAGGCCGAGGAAGGTGGATCACCTGAGGTCAGGCGTTTGAGACCAGCCTGGCCAACATGGTGAAACCCTGTGTCTACTAATAAATATGAAAAATCGCCGGGCATGGTGGTGTGTGCCTTCCTCCCAGCTATTTGGGAGGCTGAGACAGGAGAATCGCTTGAACCTGGGAGGTGGAGGTTGCAGTGAGCCAAGGTCGCACCACTGTACTGCTGCCTGGGCAACAGAGTGAGATTCCTTCTCAAAACAACAACAACAACAACAAAAAAACCTGAAGTAAATTTATAAATTTGAAGATATTTCCAAGTACATTCTTGGAAGAAATAATGCTTTTATAATATTTTTATAACTCCATAGGTGTTCCTCATTCTGATGTATCCATGTGTTAATAAATCAATGGCTAGAGTAATAAAAATCAAGAATTATTGTTTGATTTCAACAAATACTCATTTACTGTGTATTCAGATCTGGGTTAAGAACTGGGGGTATGGTCTAAAACATGATTTCTACCCTAGACTGCTCATAGTCTAGTCATAGTTATGCCAGTAATTCCAGTAGTTACGAACCATGGATTAGGTGCTAAGGTAAAGTGTGCTCACAGATAAGGGGTACCTAAACTAGATGCAGGAACAGGTAGGGTCAGGAAAGGCTTTCTGGAATAGGGGATTTCTGAAGTAAGCCTTGAAGGATAAATTAGCCATATAGTCGGCCATATTCAAGGGAATAAAAACAGAAACATGGTGTTCAGAAGAGATGTGTGGGTTCAAAATAGAAATGTGGCAGCTGTCAGAGTAAATTTGTGGTAACTGAAGTGATAGAATGAGTTGGAACACCTGGAGCAAGTGTGGTTAGCAGTGTTAACTTCGTCGAGTTTTGGACCCTTGTGAGAATCTGATAAATAACTACAGATCTTCTCTGCATGGAAATGCATGTAACAAAAATTTCCACTGGGGTGCCTATGTTAGGAACCATGCACTTTGGGTTAAGAACCTCTTGGTGTCCAGTAAAAGGAGATCTGAGGATAAAACCTGTAAGTAACAACAACAATTGAGAGGCTAATAGAGGAAGAAGAGTATGATGGGGAAGGCGGTTAAGAGGGAAAAAGAAAAGTCAAGAAAGACTGATACCATTTTAAGCTACGAGTGAGTTTCCTAAAGAAGGGAATGCCAAATACCACAGATAAATCAAAGAATACTTAAGATGTCCTTTGAATTTGGCCATCATTTGGAGGTCTTTGGTGACTTCAGTAAGGTAAATTTTCTTTCTTTTTTTTTTTTTTTTTAAATGAGACAGAGTCTCGCTCTGTCACTCAGGCTGGAGTGTGGTGGCATGCTCTCCGTTCACTGCAACCTCTGCCTCCCAGGTTCAAGCGATTCTCCTGCCTCAGCCTCCCAAGTAGCTGGGATTTCAGATGTTCACTGTCACGCCCAGCTAATTTTTGAATTTTTAGTAGAGATGGGATTTCACCATGTTAGCCAGACTGATCTTGAACTCCTGACTTCAGGTGATCTGCCGACCTCAGCCTCCCAAAGTGATGGGAGTACTGGTGTGAGCCACCACGCCCAGCCAAGGTAAATTTCAATTGAATAGTATGGAAGCTGAGGTTGTGGAGATTAGATGAAACATTGAGGAAACAGTTAAAGAATTGAGACTATAAGGAGAAATGCCTCTTTTCTTCATTTGTTTATTTAATAAATATTTTTTGAGCACTTACCATGTCCCAGGCACTGTGCCAGAGGCTAGGGCTTGGTCCATGTAGATAGGCAGGCCCTCCTTCATGAGCTGACATCTCACTGTGCCCACCCTGTTCCAGAGCTTTCCTCCAGCTTCTGCCTGTTCCTCTCCTCCCAAACACACATACATACAGGAAATGTTCTAAAATGATTTTCTCCTTGGTACATTACCAGGCACATTCAGCCACTAGGGGACTCCAGTTTTGCTGGGTCAGACCCAGGCTGCTCAATTGCTCTTCTCTCTCTCAGACACCAGGGAGCAAATTGTCCTCTATAATGCCAGGGACACACTTCAGAATATCATTGTGCCAGTCAGACCTCACTATGAGCCTGTCATTCAGTGAGTTTATAAAAATCATTATAACATTTTTTTAGCTCATACCAATTATTTCATGTAATAAAATTTTAAGCCTATTTGCATTGTAAAATAGTTGTTCTAAATATAGAAAAGTAGCATGAATCCCTGGCCTGAGGAAACCTTTATCCTAGTCTTAGACTTTTTTGCATATGGGAACTCCTCATTTGCCCTTTTCTTTAAAAACAAAATAAAACAAAACAATAAAATACCTTGGGGCCTTGTCTCTTTCCAAGATGTATAGAGGCTGCAGTCATACCTAAGCATCAAGATAGCTGCTGCTTTTCTAAGGACAAGGTTGTTGGGGTGGGGGGGTAGTCTGTCTTCTTTGTGCCCCTGGATTTTTGTTGAGAACAGTGTAATGAACGAGGGCATTCAGAGATTGATATATAGTGATTCTGAGGTTTATTTCAATTAATATAGAACTGAAAACACAATTATGCCATTAATATGATTTAGATTTTTTCCAAAAATACACTGTGTTGCTGTTGCTTCCAGTGAACCTCACCTGCCCATTTTCTACTTACTTTAAGAAAATTTGACTGCTTTTTATCTCCTTCTGATTGGCTTTTCAGTTACAAATTCAGAGTACTATATATTCTGTCTTCGAAAAAGTGTTAAATAAGAACAGGCCTAGTACTGATATATATTACTTTACTCAGCATTTTTCCTTATATTTTTATATCTCATTCTTTTTTAAATTGTGATTATGGATTATACCACAAGTATACAGATATCTGTAAAATGTACATAAGAGAGCCTGACATACTATGTTACATCAGTTTCTCCAGGTTCCACAGATGGTCTTGTAGTTCCTTTGTTCTTTTCAGCATTGTTAAAATGATTATTAATTTAGGGGTGGGTGTAATGATGTTGTATTGGCAGTGTGCCAGTGTTACATAACATTTTTTTTTTTTAATTTAAAAAATTTAAAAATTTATTTCACAATAGAGACAGGGTTTCAACCATGTTGCCCTGGCTGGTCTCAAACTTCTGGGCTCGAGAAATCTTCCTGCCTTAACCTCCAAAAATGCTGGGATTATAGGTGTGAGACACCGCACCTGGCCAATACAGAGCATTTTTAAAAGCCTGGTTGTGCATGTTGCCAAACAATTTTTATGGAGACAGCAACAAACTATGTATTGTCAGTATGATTTGCTGTTTTGAATTTTGATTTCTCTAGATGTTTATTTTTTAAATGGAGAGCTTGTGATGTTAGCTGTGGGCCTGTAAAAGATAAATAAAAATGGGAAACTTAATTTTGTAATTAATCTTTTTAACCTTTGGGTAGCCTTTTAGAGGTTATAGCCTAAAAATATATAGCATAACTAAAATATCTCATAAATCCTTTAGAATGGGATCCTATTTATTAGAATGCTTTAAAAAAATTAGAGAATCTTAATTTTATGAGACAACTGATAAAAATCATAAACTCATCATTTACATAAATTGTTTTATTTGAATGTTTACTATAAAATAGGGAAATTATGAAATTTATATTCAGAGGTTAAAGATCTTTTCAAGATCACCAGTTAAGGGCAGAATTAGACCAACCTCTGGACTGAACCACATCTTTGATGCAGTTTTTAATTATATTATTTTAATAAGAGAACTTTAAAGAAACTCTTATTGTCAGTGTTCTCCTAAACCTGTATTTATAGCACTCCATAACAATTACTATTTACAATAATGACACAAATTTCCAGGGCACATATAAGAAAGGATTTATATTTTTCAATAAAGGCTGAATGAAACATAGAAGGCTGGAGAAAACAAAGAGTGAATTTTCAGTTCACCAAAATTTTTATTGAAGCTGTAAGCCTTAAGCAAATTTGTATGCACCTTTGTGTATATCTTAAGTTTCTTAAGCAGTCATATTTGTAGGCACGTTTTTCAGAGTCTCCAGGTTTTTTTACAGTAGGACAAAAACCCACTTAAATTACCTCTCATTACCTCTCTCCTCTCTTACAGTCCTTTGCTCTCACAAGGCTGATTGGGTCTTCCAGGACAAGCAAGTTCTTGCATATTCCTATTCCTTGAAAAACCTTCTAGTTAGTGGTCATCTGATAGCTTTTCACTTCTTCACATCTTTCTTGTTAAATTCACTGAATCTATAAACTGTGTATCAGTACAAATGTTTTATTAATATAAAAAATAATTTTGTTTCACTTCTCATTTATTAGACTTTCATGGGTGGACTCTCTTAAATCTGTATTAACTATAGTAAGCTGCTACGAATGCTTGTAGTGCTATATAATTAATTCCATCATCGCATCCTTAAAATATGCCAGCACGTGGCGCTTGCCCCTCCCTTTCTCTCCCTCCGTCCCCCTTCTCACACACACATACACACACACACACACACACGCACACGCACACACGCGTGCGCACAGCGCACACCAAACTGCCATTCTCCAGCAGGCCTGCTTCTGGAGTTGGGAGATGTCAGCCTGCTGGGAGGGAGTGGGGGGAGGAGGAAGAGGTGGGGCTCTACTCTGATTAATTACCTTAGGCATTCAGGGGTGGGGCTTCCTTCAGCCATCTGCCTGAGATATGGGAGGGAGCTGGAGAAAGAAGGAGGGGGAGAGACTGGCAGAGAGGAAAAGAAAGGAAGAAACATTAGAAAGAAAAAGGAAGGAAAACGGTATAAAGGGAGATCAATTACCCACCCTCAAATAGCTAGATTGGGGGGGAGGGGGGTGGAAAAGAAAGCTGTGGAGGTGTGCCCCTGCCCGGCTGCTTTGAAGGGTTTATCATCTATTCGTTTGGTTTATGGAGAAAAAGAAAATGGTAACTCAGGTAAGATTTGTGCTTCCTCGGTATGTCTCTCTTCTCTTCTGTGGGATCTAAATGAAGGTTTGAGGGTGGAGTATAGTAAGAAGAGTTTTAATTATTATCTTCTTAGAGCAGCCCAGATTTATTGTTATCAGCTGAAAAGTCTGTGTCAATGGAGTCCGTTTATGTGTGTGTTATGTATCCATATCCTCCTTTCTCCCCCGCCCCGCAGCTCCATAGCAGATTCCTGTTTCCTGTACTGTGCAGCTGTAGCTCAGGAAAGACCCTGTGGGGATTTGTCTACCTCTTTGTCTTGGTTCTGAGAAAAGGGAGGGAGAGAAAGACTGCAGAGGTAGGAAGAGATTCTTGTAGACTGCCAAAAAGAGGGAGCAGGATTCCTTTTAAGAATTGCAGAAGAATTTGTGTTATAGGGAAATCTGATTCCTTATTCACTTCGGTTTCTCAGGATTGGCTATGGAATTGTAGTTTTGCTGTTACTCTGAACTCCTTATTAAAAATGAAGGTTAGGAAAGAATGTTCCATTTTCATGGCTTTGTTACTGGCAAAGAAGATTTTCAGTGGGAGCATCCAGGTGTAACAGAGGCAGGTAGAGCCCTCTTTGACAGGAGAACAAATCTGAAGGTATAAATCACAGACACACAGGCTTTAAAATACATTTGAAGGAGAGGGAGTAGGAAATGGAAGATATCTCTCCTCCCTCTCTCCCCTTTCATTCTTCTGTCCTCTTCTCTCTTTTTCACTCACTCTCTCCCCCAAGCCCCCTCCAAACCCCTTTTCTCTCTCCTCCTCCTTTTCCCCTCTTTCTCCCTGCCTCTCTTTGGTTATGCCAGGCAATATCTAATCTGCATTTTAGCAAGTCATTCCTGACAAATGGAAAGGTGAACGCTCTTCCACAGTTCTCCCTGGCAAGGCAATTTTTCTTGTTAGCATCCGTCTGTATGCCCCATTACCCTTTTTCCTTTATGTATAGGTTGAGAGGAAATGATGAGGCTCCACTTTATCAATGAGAAATCATTTACGCTGTAGAATATTCAAGTCCTTTAGTCTCAGACTTAAGATCAGTTTCACTCCAGGTTTCTATGCTCTGTGGGGAAATTTCATCACTGGACAGTGCTTTCCTTTTAAGGAGGTTGCCCTTTTTTGTATTCTCTCTTCTCTTCCTCTCCCAGTCACCACCAGGAGGGCGAGAGAGCCAGCTAGCTATCAGGATAGAGGCATCATTTTAGGGGCTGGAATCCTGTTTAGTTATATAATGCCCTGCAGTGCTGTTTGGAAGGAGGGAAACCTGTAGGGAGATTTTCTCATTGTGACCCAGAGGAAAGGGAAGTTTCAAATACATCTTTTCAAAGTAATTTTTCACCAAATCTAAGTTTAGAAATTTTCAACAAACTCCTCCTCCTTTTGGAAAAGTGGAGAAGCTTTTGAAATATTTATCTTCCTTGTCTTATCCCCTCATCATCAGTCTAACTACTTCTTTTGAAATACTGCTTTTAAAAAAAAATTATGTAAAAGAGAAATCCTATTTCTGGGTTCTCTTTGTTGCTTGAGAGATGATACTTGCTTAACCTTGTAGCCCTCATTCAATTTTTATTAACTGGCAATATTAGAGGATAACAGCTCTCTTAGCAATTACTGAAGGCTTTTCAGTGACTTGACTTTTCATTATATATGTTTTTTAACCAGTGAAAGAATTAGCTAAAATGGAAATTTTTTATAATGAGTTTTCTGTTGCCTCTTGGAACATTTCCCCTTAATTTCTAGAGGAGATGGTTAAGTGTGGTGTGTGTGAGCATTAAGTTAGAGTGCACATGCTTATGCACACTTAATATTGTAGTTGTAATATTTAGTATGTAAGGAAACTATAATTTTAGGAATGAAGTAGAAGAAATAAATGGAAATGGAAAGAGAGATTCTGGGGTGCTTAATAATTCTGATAATAAAATCACTATGTTTTATCAGGATGTGCTAAATATTGAAGAAATTTATGAGTTTTTGCCCATCCTGAAATTATACAACTGGAAAGGATAGCATATCAAATACGTGAGTTTTCAGTATTCCAGCCTATTTGTTTTGTTATGTCTGCTTTCTGTGTTACTGTACTGTACATAGTTGTTAGTAATCTAGGGAGAAAAATCCAAGGAAATAACCAGCTGGGCCACATCTTTTCATTTGTCCTGTGGTTGTGTTGTGCTGTGCATGCATGCATGCGTGCGTGTGTTTGAGCCAGACATCCAATCCTAACAATTGAAAATGACCTGTCACATAAGCTTTCTCAATATAGAATTTCTATACTGGTTAGGACTGGGTTATCAAAGTTAAATGGTTTATTATAATATAAGAGTGGTGTATGGGTATGTTTTCACTGTTTTGCTACCTACGTTCTTTGCATCTTCAGATCATACCATTTCTGTAGTTCCCAGTTTCCATCTCCCAGTTGTTGGAAAAGGGATTTCAGTGGATGACTTTTTCATCATACAGTATTAGATCCTTGTCAGTATCTGCACAGTATATGTGCTTTATTATTACATATGCTCTAGTTTTATGGGGCCTGTTTTTGTTTTAATTGGTAAACTGCTCTGTCATTTATAGTAAGTAATTAGTGCTCTGCTAAGAAGCAAATGGCAATTTAATCACAAAATTTTAATAAAGCAGACAGACATGCTTATGTGATACTTAAAAAATTAATTTTATGGGCTGTTGTTCATGTATATGTTCTAGGAGTATGTCACTGAGATCTCTTATTTTTAAGTAGGTAGATCATTGCATCTCACATTTATGAAAATAGCAATGTGGAATATGAAGGAAAGATAAATCATTCTTGTACTATGTGTAAAATTTGAAAAATAACATTGCAAATGACTTCAACACTAATTAGTAAAGAATAAATGTTTAGCCAAACTCAAACTTAGTTATCCTATCTGTTGTTGAAAGGGAAAGTGTACTAGGCAGAGAGGAAAAGATTTTACAATGTGGATGTGAAAGAAAATTTTTGTGCTCTACTATGGTATAAGACTGCCAGTTTCCATGGAACACAAAGCCCTCCCTTTCTTGGACAGCTCAGTGCTTTGCTGGCATTTTCTTCAAAATCTGTTTTCCATCAGGACCAAGAGGAGGGAAGGTGTTAGGAATAAGGGAGGTTGGAAAGGGGGTTGCTGTTCCTTTAAATAGTGCAGTGAGTCCATGTGGCAGCAGGCCGCTCCAGAGTGTATTCTTTTGTAATGAATCACCAGTTCCATTGTCTGCTATCTCCCCTCTTTGTAGCTGAAAGGCTGAAGTCTTTCACCTGAGCTGCTGCCAGTTGCTCCTCTGTTCCTGGGTGGTTGGGAGAAGAGAAGAGGGAGGGTATTTTATGCTTTAGTTAAAGACAGATAAGAGAGCAGGTATGTTTTGCTTTGTTTCGTTTTCTCTTTTCCTCTGCTTTTGTTTGTCTGGTTTTTATAAGGAGTTGGAGTAGGGGATCTATTCTGTGATTTTGCTAAGCATATCCCATTTTTTCTGAATTCTGAAAGTCCTCATATCATTTAGTCTCCATTTTGTGGCATTGCTTTAAAGTGATTCCATTTGGTTGCCTGCCAGTCATGCTCCCTTGCCACTCGAACCTCATCCCACCCTTCATCCACGGAGCTGCAGCCACACTGTTTGTTTTGGCACACTTTCTACTTTCTATGGGCTTTGCAGGATTTGGGGGAATTGGAGAATAGGTGGGGATTGTGGACTAGAGACTAGATTTATGTTCCTTTAAAATGAAAAAAAAAAAAAAAAAAAAAAGCCTCACTTTTTCCAGAGATTTGGTTTCCTTCTGAATTCTTCTACATTACTCCATATCTTCAGTTATAACCATTACCTTGCCAAGGCCAAGATTATCTCTTGAAAAATAATTGCTTTTCTAAAAATTACTTAGCTTTCTTGAAAAGATACCTAGAATTTCATAAATGAAGCTATGATGAAATCCCAGCAATCTTGACTCACTAAATTGTTTTTTTCCATTTTAGTCAACCCCCAATCACACACATTTTTTTCTTTCTTTTTTTGCCCCTTTCCTCTATTTTTTTCCTTTATCTTTCTACTTAGTTTTGCAATTGAATCCAGGTAATTTTAATATTTGACAACCTACTACTGAAATTTGTATTGCTGTAGAAGACATCTTCACATTGAAAGGCAGTGACATTCTTCATTCCTCTCAATGATAAGGTAAAGCTCAAATTCCCGGTTTTGTTCCTCCAGTTTGCTGTTCTCCCTTGAGAAATTCCAAACTCTCATCTACACAGATTGCCATATGCAAACAATTTTATCTCTCTCAAATTTGAACTTTTCATCAGGTAATTCCCTACCTAGGGGTTGTTTCTTGGACATCTGTTTATGATAGATGGTTTCTGTTTCTGGGAGTCAGTCATACTAGATGATACAGCCCCCTTTACCCACCTTGGTCTTCTTCGGGTATACCATTCCCTCTCTGGAATCTGACATTATTGGTATCCCACATGTTCCCTTCTGAAGTCATAATTCCTCACTCTTTTTTTTCCAACATTTCCAAACCACTGTCAAATCTTTTTTAAACATTTCCTCCCAACACTTTGTACTTGAAGTCTGCCAGACACAAGTAGAATGCTCCCCTGCAGCAAATACTTTGCTCTTTTGATTGTAGCACCTTTATTAGTGGGCTCTAGTGTTCAGCTTCTTCTAGGCAGTCAGAAATGCTGCATTCTGCCATCACGATGTATTGTGTCTATTTCCCACAGTCTGAAATGTTTCTCTATTACTATTAGATTAAATTCAGGAAACTAATTCATTAGAGGTCATTGTGCCAGAGTGAATCATTTGAAATGCAAGTCTGATTTTGTCATTCCTGTGCTTATACCTTACAGTTGCTCCCTTTCAGTCTCTAAATAAAATCGTTTGGCCTTACAAAGGTCTCTAAGACCCTGCATGATCAGGAACCTGGCTGTCTCTCCAGCCTCATCTCCTGCCATCCTTTTCTTTCTGTATTTTATTCCAGTGACACAGGCCTCTTTGCTGTTCTCTTAACACACCTGATACCCTCCTACTCAGGACCTTCTGCTTTTCTCTCTGCCCAAAATGCTCTTCCCACTGGTACCCATATGGCTTGCTCTACTCTTGAATATTACTTCTCAAGGGAAACCTCTCCCTTAACTTTCCTATCTAAACCAGCACTCCCTTATCAGTCCTACCTTCATTCTGCTTTTTCTTCACTTGTCAGTGATTTTAGTTCTTATCATTGATTTTTATATGTTTGTTTGTTGTCTGTCTCCTCCTCTGACCCCAAACATAAGCTCCCTGAGATCAGGAACTTCATCAGCAGTTTGTTATATTTGTAGAACAGTGCCAGATACTGATATTCTTCTAAGCACTTTGCCCTCATTAACTCATTGAATCCTCTCAGCAACCCTTTATTATCTCCATTGGACTCCATCTTTCAAAAGACGAAACTAGGCATATGATGGTTAAGTAAATTACCCAAATTCAGACAGCTACTAAGAGATGTTATGGGGAATCATATCCAGACAGACTGGCTTAGAAATTGATATTCTTAACCACTGTACTCGAATGCCCCTTGTAGGTATTGGGTATTCAGTAAATATTTGTTGCATGTGTGAATAAATTAATTTAGTTGAGACACTGATTCATTTCTGAAATTTCCATCTCTGACTTAAGACTTTGATAAAACACTTGGAATAATGGAAATTCATTGAATAAAATGACTTTATTATTATAATATATAACAAAATATACATTATGATAAAAATATTAATGTTATTAATACTAAATAATGGCAGAGTACATATTGTGCATTAAGGACTGTCTTAAGTGCTTTACATATATTAGGGCATTTATTCTACTCAGCAGCCTTATATACTTACTCAGCAGTATTATTAATGTTCATGTTGTAGAAATTAGGAAACCTAAGGAGTTTGGCTTCAGCGTTTCTGTTCTTAACCACCATTAATAATGACCATTATTAAAATAAGTTTTTGTTTTTGCATACCTACTTTGTACCAGTCAATTTTACATACGCATCACATTTACAAACATAATTATTCATATTATGTATCACTTGTCAGTCATCTTTGAGGTAGGTGAGGCTTTTTCCATTTTTTGCACGAGACTTTGAGATTCTGGAGGTCAGGCAATCTGGTGACTCTGGAAACAGACAGAGATAGGTTAAAAACTGGAGATCTATTTAGTGCCAAATTCACATGCTCTTCCATGATACTGTGAGCCTTGTAGATAAATAGCTCCATTGTTGGCTATTGAAAAGTAGAAAAGTTTTCTTTATGAGCTAAAATCTGTTTTCATTATTGTCCTCTCACTCCTCACTTTCTCATCTGGAGTTACATTGAGTGGTTTCATGTCTTCTATATAAAATCCAAATATTTGAAGATACTACTGAACGCTCTCTTAATCTTCTGTTGCCTTCGCTTATTTTTCCTACTTCCTTCAATTATTCCTCATAGATATGAAAGCATACGGTTTCCAGAATGATTACTGACTGTCCTGGGCAAATTGCATTAATTTTTATGAATAATATTTATGTCTAATTACTAAGTAAAAATATCAATTATGACTACTTTTTAAGTTTTATTGATACATAATTATACATATTTATGGGGTACATACAATATTTTGATACATGCCTACAATGTGTAATGATCAAATTGGTAATTAGAATACCCATCACCTCAAATATTTGTCATTTCTTTGTATAGAGAGAACGTTTCAGATCTCCCCTTCAAGCTATTTTGAAATATCCAATGAATTTTTGTTAACTACAGTCACCCTACTGTGCTGTTGAACATTAGAACTTCCTTTTTGTTGTCATTGAGACTGAGTCTCACTCTGTTGCCCAGGCTGGAATGCAGTGGTGCGATCCTGGTTCACATCTCAGCTTAGTGCAATCTGCACCTCCTGGGTTCAAGCGATTATCCTGTCTCAGCCTCCCGAGCAGCTGGGACTACAGGTACGTGCACCACCACACCCGGCTAATTTTTGTAATTTTAGTAAAGATGGGGTTTCACTATGGTGGCTAATGCCTGTAATCCCAGCACTCTGGGAGGCCGAGGCAGGCAGATCACTTGAGGCCAGGTGTTCGAGAGCAGCCTGGCCAACATGGTAAAACCCCATCTCTACTAAAAATACAAAAATTAGCTGGGCATGGTGGTGTGCAGGCCTGTAGTCTCAGCTATTCAGGAGGCGGAGGCAAGAGAATTGCTTGAACCCGGGAGGTGGAGTTTACGGTTAGCTGAGATTGTGCCACTGCACTCCTGCCTGGCTACAGAACAAGACTCTGTCTCAAAAAAAAAAAGAAAATATTTCTTCTGTGTTTTTCTACCCATTAACCGACCCGTCTTGATCTGCTTCCTCCTTTCCAGCATTCAGTAAACATCATTCTACAGTTATGAGTATTAAGTATCATATAGTTTCGTTTTATGATAACATGTTTGGCTTTAGTCAGTTTCTTTTTTGTTGTTTTTCACATAGAGTCTCACTCTGTCGCCCAGGCTGGAGTGCAATGGCACTGTCTTGGCTCACTGCAACCTCTACCTCCTGGGTTCAAGTGATTCTCCTGCCTCAGCCTCCCAAGTAACTGGGACTACAGATGTATGCCACCACATTCAGCTAATTTTTGGAATTTTTGTAGAAATGGGGTTTCACCATGTTAGCCACACTGGTCTCAAACTCCTGACCTCAGGTGATCCACCTACCTCAGCCTCCCAAAGTGCTGGGATTACAGGCGTGAGCCATTGTGCCCAGCTGACTTTAATCAGTTTTTATAGTTCATTAAACATAGTGTTGCTGGCAGTTTATAACTTCAAAAGTGAAGGGATATTACCTTGAACTCCTAAACAGAATAAATAGAATATTTTTTCTCTCCTCTGTAAAGCATGCTTTACAGTGGTAGTGGCAAGAATCTACCAGTCTTTTAATCTCTGACTCTTACCCTGATCACTCAAAGGTTACTGTCATTCAGTAATGGAAGTCAGTAATTATTTTATGAAATTATAAATGAATGCTTTTATGTCCACAAATGATACAACTATATTCTTTTTCCTAATGCTAATTATGATTTCTTGTAAGAAGTTTTGAAGAGACAAACTGAGACTTAAGTGAAGGAGATTGGATTTTGAAAAGATTCTTAACTTAGAGGAAAGATCCACAGACTTTGTCTAAAGGGCCAAGTAGTAAACAATTTGGGCTTTGTAAGCCATGTTGTTTCTATCCCAACTACCCAGCTTTGCTGATGAGGCATTGAATAAGCTATAGACAGTAAGTAAACGAATGGTGGGTTGTAGCTGTGTTCCAGTAAAACTATTTATGGACACGCAAATTTTAATTCCATGTAATGTTTATGTGTCACAAAATGTGATTCTAACTGTTTAAAAATGTAAAACCCTGCTTAGCTTGCAGGTTATACAAAAGTAGCTGGAGGGCTGGCTTTGAACCATGAGCTATAGTTTGCTGATCCCGTTCTTAGAGGGATACAGGACCTCACAATTTCATTTATAGCATAGGTAAGGTTTTCCTATATAGCTTCATGACAGAAACAAAGTTTTGAGTGGTTCTAGCAGGTCATCTTGAATCCCTGTTATAATAGAATGAATCCCCTGATTTGCTCTCTCATTTCCCCAGCCCCAGAAAATAGGAAGTTTTTTCTCCTTCCTTTACTTCCTTTCTCCCTCCATATGCCGTATTTTAGACCTTCTTGCTTTTTATATATATTTTCATATTTTAAAAAAATATATTTTGCATGTAGTTATATGTTGTATAACAACATTTGGGTCAACAACTGCATACACAGCAGTGGTCCCATAAGATTATAATACTATATTTTTACTATCCCTTTGCTATATTTAGATACACAAATACTTAGGTTTCTGTTATGTTTGCCTACAGTATTCAGTATAGTCACATGCTGTGTAAATTTGTAGTCTAGGAGCAATTCCATATATTCTAGGTGTATAGTAGGCAATACCATTTAAATTTGTGTAGGAACACTGTGTGATGTTCACACAAAGACAAGCTTGCCTAAGGACACATTTCTCAGAACATATTCCTGTCATCAAGTGACACATGACTATTATTTATTACTTTGGGCCAGAATGCATTTTTTTCCACATTTAAATCTTTAAATTTGTCTTTAATGATTCAGCTTAGACTCCACCTAGTTTACAATC